TTATCCAGATGGTAGGATTGTATGGATGTCTGAGGGTACAAGGTACCAGTCAACTGTTGATGAGTGGGCCAAGTTGATAAATGCCCCTGAAGAGCATGAGGATGACTTGGATGTCTATGCCAAGAAGAAGAAAGACCACAACTCTATGACCAACATGTACAAAGAGATCCCAGACAAAGCTTTGGAAACACATAAGTTTGGATCTGTACATTACTTGTTGTATAGTCTAGCTACAATCAACACTATATTGAGGCATACGTTGTTGCCCAAATATGGAGATCACAAGATGATCAGAGGCCATTCAATCAACTTGCTGCAGATATTTGATGTTCCTCGGAAATTCAAGGTCATGAGTCTGATTGTTGAGACAATCAAGAGGACAGTTGCTGATCAAAAGAGATCTTGTGGGTATGCTCCACACATTCATGTGTTCATCAACTCCAAGATAGGAACATACACTTATTTGTTGGACAAGGATCACTTACCTTTCAGACCGGAATTTGAAGATAACACGGTTGTGATGAATGAGGATTATCCCACATTAGTGCAAGCACAAGAGAAGAGAGCAAAGGCAAAGGCTGAGAAGGCTGCAAAGATGCCAAGTGTTGAGGATGCATCTCAAGTTTTTTTGAAGTCAAAACAAGACCAGCTTGCATATCTAATTCAAGCAACTTTGAGGATTGAGAAGGGCTTGGCCACCCTGAACAAGAATCAGGAGGGCTTGGAGAGGATCATAGAGACCAAGTTCTATGATCTTGATCTGAAAGTAACAGAGATGCAGTCAGCTGTTGAGCAGCTCCAGGAGGAAGCGGAGGAGAAGAGAGGAAAGGTTACTACAGATGCTTTTCGGGGAGTGCTCAGAGGTCAGAGATCTGCTGCAGTGCCAGTGCCTGACACTAGAGCAACTACTTCGGCAACAGCTTCAGTGTCACCTCCAGTTGCCACTCCACCAGCTCCAACAACATCTACTGATGCCTTCATCCTTGGCGTCCTTTCTACACCACCTCCCGAAGATCAAGCCTAGAGAGATGCATAGCACTATGCATTTTCAAACTTTTTGGTAACTTGTTGCCAAAGAGGATGAAGTATATAGATCTTAGGCTTCGAGAGAGAGAGAGTGATTTGCTTCTTTGTCTTTCTTGCTATTTGCTTGATACTTTCGTGTGTGCTCGTTTGATACTTTATGTCTCTGTGTGAGATACTTGTATGATCATGTGTTTGATCATATCCTACCTTAATGCTTATGCTTGGATGATATTATCTTTTATATCTCATATATGATCATTCACTTTGCTTGGTGATGAGTGCATGTTTTAATTACTATCATTTTGAGCGCTCCACCAAGATGTATGTGACATGGAAGAGTGACCCATGATCCTAATCGATCGTGCATTTGCATTCAAAAGCAAATCTTAAATAATGCACAAATTTAGGGGGAGCTCTTGCTTATCACATACTTCTCAAAGCGACAATGTATTTCAATCTTATTATCGTTTGTTGAAGCTTTGATCTATATGTTGTCATCAATTACCAAAAAGGGGGAGATTGAAAGTGCAACTATCCCTGAGTGGTTTTGATAATTCCTAACAACATATAGCTCATTGAACTAATGCTATTTCAAGATGATCATTTCAGAAAGTTCAATGATTGACATGGCATGGATTAGGAATGTGGACCCCTCAAAATGCTAAGGACACATATTAGCTCAAGCTCAAGACTCTACATTTTCATTTTAGTGATCCAAGATCACATTGAGTCCATAGGAAAAGCCAATACTATTAAAAGAGGATGAGGTGTTGCTTAATGGCTTGCTTGCTCAAAATGCTAAGTGATATGCTCCAAAAGCCCTCAACAACTTTCTCATATCCACATATGTCCCAAACCAAAAGTCAAACTCGGCCTTACCGATTTGATTTATCCGGCGCCACCGAGTTCACTTAACATAACCACTGCCAAAAACCCTAGTCACTTTGGTCTCACCGATAGGGATCTCAGTCTCACCGAGATGGGATTGTAAACTCTCTATTTCCCTTCATAATGTTTCGGTCCAACTGAGATGAGCGATTGGTCCCACCAAGTTCGCAATGCAAACTCTCTGTTTTCCTTTCGTAACATTTTAGTCTCACCGAAATGAGCGAATCGGTCCCACCGAGTTTGCCTGACCAACTCTCTGTTTGCCTATTATAGAAATCGGTCTTGCCGAGTTTATGTGATCGGTCTCACCGAGATTACATTATGCCCTAACCCTAATGAAATCGGTCCCACCGAGTTGACATGTCGGTCCCACCGAAAATCCTAGCGTTCACATTTTGAACTAAATCAGTCTGACCGAGTTTCATGATTCGGTCCCACCGAGTTTGGTGATTTGTGTGTAATGGTTAGATTTTGTGTGGAGGCTATATATACCCCTCCATCCTTCCTTCGTTAGTAAGGAAAGCCATCAGAATGTGCCTACACTTCCAACATACATTTTCCGAGAGAGAACCACCTACTCATGTGTTGAGATCAAGATATTCCATTCCAACCACAAGAATCTTGATCTCTAACCTTTCCCAAGTTGCTTTCCACTCAAATCATCTTTCCACCAAATTCAAATCTGTGTGAGAGAGTTAAGTGTTGGGGAGACTATCATTTGAAGCACAAGAGCAAGGAGTTCATCATCAACACACCATCTATTACCTTTTAGAGAGTGGTGTCTCCTAGATTGGTTAGGTGTCACTTGGGAGCCTCCGACAAGATTGTGGAGTTGAACCAAGGAGTTTGTAAGGGCAAGGAGATCGCCTACTTCATGAAGATCTACCCTAATGAGGCAAGTCCTTCGTGGGTGATGGCCATGGTGGGATAGACAAGGTTGCTTCTTCGTGGACCCTTCGTGGGTGGAGCACTCCGTGGACTCGCACAACCGTTACCCTTCATGGGTTGCAGTCTCCATCAACGTGGATGTACGATAGCACCACCTATCGAAACCACGCCAAAAATCTCCGTGTCTACATTGCGTTTGCTCCCTCCAATCTCCTCCCTTTACCTTCATATGCAATGTTTTACATTCCGCTGCTATACTCTTAGACTTGCATGTGTAGGTTGATATCTTGACCTGTGCTAAGTTACTAAAATCTGCCAAAACATAAAATTGGGAAAAGACTAGATTTTTATTTGGTCAAGTAGTCTAATCACCCCCTCTAGACATACTTTCGGTCCGACAACTGGCCTCAAAATTGAGCTCAGATATAGTTCATCTTATCACCCACAAACATGTGGACAAACTGAAAGATTAAACCAGTGCTTGGAGACTTATTTGAGGTGCATGACTTCCAATGAACCAAAAAAGTGGCATTCATAGTTGGCATATAGCTGAGTATTGGTACAACACTACTTACCATACAACCCTTAAAATGTCCTCATTCTAAGCTATATATGGGTTCCCCCTCATTGATTAGTGAGATGGCTATCCTAGGACCTGAAGATTTAGGAGCAAGAGAATTTCTAGAGAACAAACATGCTATGTTGGATTAGCTCAAGCAGAACCTAACACAAGCACAACAAAGAATGAAAAGGTATGCTGACATGAAAAGAGTAGAAAGAACTTTTGACAAAGAAGACTTGGTCTATCTGAAGATGGCTCCTTACATGCTCCCAGCTTTTGGATTCAGAGAGTCACTTAAACTGCAACACAAGTACTATGGTCCCTTCCTAATTACACAGCAAGTGGGTAAAGTGGCCTACAAACTCCATTTCTTGATCACATCAAAATCCATCTTGTGTTCCATGCCAGTCAACTCAAAAGGCACCTAGCCTAAGAGCTATCCCCATCCCAAACATGCAGACTGTGCATGAGGATGGTACACTCAAATGTTGCACCAACGCTAGTTCTCCAGGTACAACAAATACCTCGTCGCAATATTCCTAGGATTTAGTGGCTCGTGCAGTGGGAGAACCTAGCGCCGAAGGATGCTACATGGGAGGACACAAACTTCATCAAATGCACGTTCCCGACGTTCTTCAAGTTGACCACTGCGGCGTGAGAGCATCATCGTTGACAATGCTATGAGGACACGATCGATTCCGAGGAGGGAGCAATGTCATGCCAACACTTTCAGTTAACTGTTCAGTTTCAGTACTGGTTCAACATCCGACAAGAGTTGCTTTGAATCAGACGACTGTACTCACATGGGACCTTCCCTCGCTCGACGTCTGGTTTCACTCCACTTAAAGCACTGTTGGTTTGTTAGTTTTACAACGCTATGACAATTACTGTGCGGCTGTGCCTATAAAAGGGGCCAGGTTGTGCCTTCGACATGTTATGTTATTTTTTCTTAATTTCTAGCCTACGGGCGAGAATACTACCGATCGGCCTCTCAATTCACCCCTTTCCCTTAATTGTTTCCCCATAAAACTGTTCATACATACCTACTCCATCTGTAAACTAATAGAAAACCTTTTAGATCACAACGTCTTATATTAGTTTACAAAGGGATTAAATCGGATCTTACACTGCTCGGGTTTGACACCCTCTCCCTACCACTAGGTTCGTCAAGGCCGCCGGTGGGGGAGGGGAGAGGAGAGGAGCCGAGAAAAAGAAAGGAACTCTCAAGGGAGGGGAGGGGAGGGGGAGAGGGGAGCCTCCCCCAATTCGTATTGCACGGAGAAGGTAACACGGTTGTCTACGACCGTAGATGTGCGGCAGATAATATTGCGACCGAGAATCACCCACTCACTCGCCTTCTCCTCGCTTCGTCGTCTACATAACCCGGCCGCTCTGTTCTCGTGCTCCCTCTTCCACTCGTCTCGCCATTAATTAAAGCTCCGGAAAACAATTTCCCTCTCCCAAATCCTCCAGATATAGCCCCCCTACCACACCCCAGCAAACTCTCACGCGCGCGCGAAGCATCGGCTCTGCTGGATCCCCCCCTTTGCCTGGGCATTTGATTTCCCCCCGAATTTCCCATCATTTTGGGTTTATCGGCCATCTGTGGCGGCAGCTCGGGATAGGGCTCGCGGGGATGAGGTTGCATGGGGATGTGTCGGATGATGAAGAGGAGGGTGCGGTGATGGATCCGGCACTGCTGTCTCCGTCATCGCCGCCCGCCGGTGCGGCGGCGGCGGCTGCGTCGAGGCTGGTGGTGGGCTACGCCCTCACGAAGAAGAAGGTTAAGAGCTTCCTCCAGCCCAAGCTGCTCCTGCTGGCGAGGTAAAAGCCTGGATCACCGCTTATAGAGATGGACTCCATTGATTGATTGATTCATGGTGGATGCAGGCGGTGGATGTTTTTTTTTAGAGAAAGGGGGTGTGTTTCTTGTTTGCTGAGTGGGGAGTAATTTCACAAAACATGAAAACATAAGATTTTTTTTTCTGGTACAGAGGTGTTGAAGACTTAAGGGTGTTGCTCTTGGAGGAAAAATGCTGTTCTTGGATCAGTTTTTGAACATCAGTAGTACTTTACTTGGACAGGCAGAGGTGACAAAGGGGTAGTAATGAACTAGTAATTGATGTTCAAACCAATATAATTTCTGCAGTGAGGGGTGGAATGGAATGCTATTCTGTTCCTTATAGCACTTGTTAATCAGTGATCGAATCAGATATCGACCGGAGTAAAGTTAGCGAGAACAGCTAGTGAGAGTGGCTTCTCAGTGAAGCATGCTGGGTTCTAGATTAGAAATTCCAGTAGCATCGTTAGATGCCATATACGCGTGCCAATGTTGGCAGTTACACTGCACGAGGGGATGTCCATGGTCTATAATTTTATATTATCATGTCCACTTGACTAAATGCTTTGTGGTATGCTAATCCTTGTTGCCTCATTGCCTGGCATCTGGGATTCTAGTTGGAATATTCCCATGGATAAGCACATCACATGGATTATGACAACTTGTTGATGGCAATATCTTTCTTGGGATCATTTCCACTTTAGTGAATGCGTCGCTAGATTTGATGGCAACATGGACCACTGACAAACAGTTACTCCCTCTTATATTATGGGACGTATAGTGTAAAGAACACTCTTATATTATGGGACGTATAGTGTAAAAAACGCTCTTATATTATGGGACGGAGGGGGTATTTTTCTTGAAAATACTACTGACAAACAATCTTTGAGCTGGCTATCTTGTTAGTTACCTGAATTAAGAGCTAAATGTATCCAATTATTTGCTGGTTGGTTCTCAGCCTATGAACATAATAAAAGGATGTCGAAAAATAAGCAAAGATGAAATAACAAGGAACTCTTGCAAAATTAAAATTTACATTCTGAGACTGATATATGTTTTGATTTTAGAAAAAAGTAAATGTACACTCAGAGGGTGGGTGCTCGAGTTTAAGGTTTATATACTTGCACATCTTAGAAAATTCTCAAGATTCGTATATGTGAATCATGTTACAGCATGTGGGTCTGCAAAGAATCATGCAAAATTATGATCAAATGTTTCCTGTACAAAAAGACAAATGGCTCAGTTTTTTATTCATGTACTTTTATTGTTTAAAAACTTATAAAAACAAATGTGCACTTTACCCTTGTGAGTGGCTTCACAGGCTAAACAACATAAGGCATGTATTCTGGTAGAAAAATATAAGCAAGGAACAGAAACAAATTTACAAGCGAAATGTTCTTTTCAGGAATTGAACAAATTTTGCTCGGTCAAATTGTATATCTGAAGTTGATTAATATTTTTAGTTTGTTCATTTATCCCTGCTGTTGAGTAACTCAAAATATGAATGTTTTGACATGAAGCTGGTTTCCATATAATTCCTTTTTATCCTTTGCAAGGTACCCTTGTGACATATTCTGATTTGTATTTGATTGAGTATTCAGGTGTCCCTAAAAACAAATTAACCCAGTTGAGTTGGCGATGCATTTTTTTTTAAAGTTCAGCAGAGAGCTTGAATTTGACTTGGATGATTTTGTCTACTCACTTACTATAAGTTTATAATCACTAGCCTCGTATGCTGACTAGTTGCCAAGATTTTATTTTAGTGCTACTTGACATCTTCTTAAACATGTGCATTTTACTTTGTCAGGAAGAAAGGAATTAGTTTCATATCAATTGATGAGACTCATCCTCTCTCAGAACAAGGCCCATTTGATATCATCTTGCACAAGGTTAGCCAAATACTTCCTAAAATATGTTTTGAAAGTCTGTGGATGCATAGGTCTCAGAACTAAGATTGTCTTACATATTTTCTCCAATTGTTGTGTCTATACGGTTTGAATATTGAAAGAAGTGACTTCTGCTTAATATTTTTAAAATATTATGTCATGATACGTTTCTTGCTTCCTTCTGCAGAAAACTAGCAAGGAGTGGCAGCGGTTTCTGGAGGTAATACTAGACGACAGGTGTAGAAACCTGATGATCTGCAAATGCATGCGTACCATACTGATACAATATGCACGCTCGTCATACATTTATCTAATTTTTCTTGTATAGTTGGTACCATGTCCTGGGAAATCAGTAGTCAGACAGCCCCTCCGTCCAGAAATAGATGGCGTTTCAGATGTTGACACAGTCGCCAACAAACATCTTTGAAAAAGAAATCTGTTATGAAAATGTGATTCCTGTGAAATCCAATGATATTATTTTCTTATAATCAACCCAAATATTTTTTTTCATATATTGGGAGTCAAAGATAAAATTTCAACTCAATGAATTCTAGGAAGTCATGTGTTTTGGAACCTTGGTAGTAAGATTTAGTGTTTATCCTGTCTGCGGCAATGACAGTTAGTATAGTTAATTATCTAATGCAAAAAAAGAAGTCGTAATTGTCCACTGCAGCTCCCTGTGAAAAGCTTATCATAATTGTTGCACTTTGCTCTTAGCTTCTAAATCAAGAATTCCCCTTCTCTGTTGATTTTTACATTAAAAATATTTCATTCTGTGAAGGATTATCATGAAGTGCATCCAGAAGTCACTGTCCTCGACCCACCCAATGCCATTGAGCATCTGAACAATCGACAATCGATGCTTGAAGAAGTAGCAGATTTGAACCTGTCCAGTTTCTATGGTAATATTGCAGATGCGTAATACGTCTGATAATGATATTTGTGCCGAATATAAGCCCATTTGAACTGTTTGGGCGAGTGCTGTGCATTTTCTCACCTCATGTGAGTATTGTGGTTCTAGAATGTGCATAGATCTGAACGCATATTCTATGAGTGGAAGAGTGGAAGCACTCACCCACACAAGCACGAAGTCCACTCATAAAAATAGACATTGTAATTTAAGGTTTTCTTTGTGCATAAATTACTGATTTTTTTTGCTTTCCTCGTCATGAAATGGCAGAGTGCCTGCCTGTTTTGTAAAAAAAGGTTTCTCTGAATGTTTATATCTTGTGAGTTGATATGTGTTTCATGACCAAGTACATTGACACATCAGATTCTCACCTAATTCTCATGTAACTGCAGTCCTAGAAAAGAATTGCTTTCAATAGAAAGGCACCAACAAGATCTTCTTGTTGACAAGGGGGGCTGACAATCTTATTTCTGTCCTTTTGAACCATTTGTGTTTCCAGTTAAGGTTGCTATGTAAATCATCTTCAAACTTAAGAGAGCACTAACTCCATTAATGAAAATTGCGGGAACACTGGGCAAAATTTCTTGTTTGCTTGTTTTCTGCTGGGTGAGTCCAGTGACAGATTCTGTTCAATTGGACAGCAGTATCTTTCTGATTTATCGTGAACACGTAGCATATTGACATGCAGGCTACTGAAAGTGCATCCCCAGCTTACTTCTGTGAAGGACTTAATATGTTTTTTTGCTCATAAGGACTTAATATGTTTACAATAGTATATAATATATTTTTTATGGTTTGAATTTTGGACAATCGCAGAAGAAGTTTGCACTCCACGCCAACTGGTCATTATGAAAGATCCGTCCTCTATACCAACTGCAGTTGCCATGGCTGGGCTAACCTTGCCATTGGGTAATTTGTTCAAATCTTGAAACTATCAGTTGCATGCTTCTTGAATCTTAATTTGTATTTGTTGCTCCTTTCAAGACACACTTTACTTTAGTTGTTATATGAGAGTTTAGATATCAGCTATGGGCATCATATGATTTGCACTAGCTGTAATATCACGAGTCATGACACTGTACAACCTAGCTACATGTATGCTTTCGTTCTGTTCTGTGAAACATATGCTTCACTCATTATTGAACGCTTACAATATAAACAGGCATGCACTATATGACAAACAAGGAAGGGAATGATGAAATGATATTATTGACATTATGTTGCAGAAATCCTCTATGATTATTTAGTTTGGTGATTTATATGTTACCTGATTCTATGTGCATGCTATGTGGAAACATGTCCTGCAACTTGCCTGTCACATTTGGTGAATTAAACACTAGTTTGAATGAGGACGTAAAGTGAGTAGGGTTGGCCAGTAGTGCATTTGGGCGAGATAGACACTTAGACTAATATTCAAGTTTGATGTTGTGATGTTCTCCTTCCAGTTGATAATTCCCAGTATCACATATTTAGGCCATTTTCCCTGCTGTAGCTCCAGTATTCTGCTTCTGGGGCTTTGTCTTATTCTCCTTCAATGTGTTACATGGGACTTCCTGTTTGTTATGTGTGGAACTAGTAAGTGGAAATTTCTGATGGGACGCACTTCTGTTTGTTGCAGTTGCCAAGCCATTGGTTGTTGATGGAACATCTAAATCTCATGAGCTATCTCTGGCATACGATGAGGCGTCCTTGCCAATGCTTGATCCTCCTCTGGTACTCCAGGAATTTGTGAATCATGGTAACTCCTGATTCTTTTATCTGGCATATGCTTTTTTGCTCTGGATTGGTCGAATCGTGGCATCTGATTTATTAAATCTACAGGTGGGATCCTCTTTAAGGTGTACATCATTGGTGAAGCTATACAGGTTGTCCGCAGGTTTTCTCTTCCTGATGTTAATACCTATGACTTACTAAACAATGTTGGCATCTATCGACTTCCAAGAGTTTCATGCGCTGCAGCAAGTGCAGATCATGCAGACCTTGATCCTCGTATTGCAGGTGGGTCTTCTGCAGTGTTTCCAATTTATCTTTGGTTTAACTTTATTTTCTTTTTTGAATTGATTCTGTTCCAGTTTCATACTAACACAAAATTGTGTTTGGTATGAAGAAAGTGAAGTTAATAGTTTTGTTATAATCTCAAAGTTGAGGAGAAAATCGTTCAATAAAAAATAGTTGTCTTGTAATGCATTATGTTTGGCAAGAGCTTTTTACTGCACCAAATGAACAGTTTTCATTACTGAACAGAGCTTCCTCCGAGACCACTTCTAGAGAAACTAGGCAGGGAGCTTCGTGGTCGTCTGGTATGACCAGCACTGGTTCTTAACTATGTGTAGCTATTATATTTGTTGCCTCACCTGACATCTTAAAATTTGCAGGGTCTAAGATTGTTCAACATAGATATGATTAGAGAGCTTGGAGCAAATGACCGGTACTATATAATTGATATCAACTACTTCCCAGGTGTGTAGTTATTTTATCTCTCACATGGCTCTGCATTTCTTTTCTTCTGTTTATGTGTTCATGAAGAACTTGCTAGGCCAATATTTTTATCCCAGCTGAGGGGAAAAGAAATGTATCGTCGCGACATATCTCTGCCCGTGTAGGCCAATTTAACACTGTTCAAGTAGGGGTATCTTCTCTTCTCCACTACCCAAGGTTGGCTTGGCTGGGGCATGAGTAGTCTTGCTAATTGTATGTTGTTCATCCGGGTGCAGATTGTTCTTAACCATTACAGGTAACTTCATCCAAGGTGAAGATTGTTAGGAATATGACATGTAAATCATGCAAGACATTTTAATGCTGTGTAGTTTTATTGATGCTGTCAGATCAGTTCCTATGGAGACAGCAATACACGCTACCACAGAAGTTGCTTTTGTTTTGTTCAGTTAAATGGGCAAGTCTTGCATGTAAAATTACAGTGAAAACGTCATGGTCTTGACTCTTGACGATTTCACAGCATGGTAATTTCCTTGCAGTAGTAATTCTTGACTGTCTAGGAAGTAATGCTGCTGTTTTCATTTTTTCCGCAGGATATGGGAAAATGCCTGGCTATGAGCACATATTCACCGATTTCTTGCAAAGTCTTGGGCAAAACAAATACCAAAGGTGCTTGAGCGGAGGCTGAAGCGCTGGTAGCCATACTTGTTCACTAATGTGCATATCTTGGATACATAAGCTGGAGCCCAAGGCTTGAAGTCCAAAACTTACATGTTTTGTAAGAAGTGGCGCCACATACACAGGGTCGGGAGTAGGGGGAGAGAAAGAACTCGAATGGCCTTGTGCCCATCTTGTATAAATCACGGTTGTTTTGATCATAGTTTGGTCTCAAATGCTTTCATCAAACAGGATCAGCACCATCAACCTACCATGTATGATATTGATCAGTTAAGCTACATACGGTGCATCACAGTAAGCAATATTCAAAATAAGACAGCATCACCTGCTTCCAGGTATAGTTTGACACTACAGAGAACTAAATGCTCTTCTAGGGGGAAATTCAATCAGATTGCAAAGCTTCTAACCTGCAGTCAGAAAATCTTGATAAATTGAAGCAGGTAGCCATGACTTGGTGCAGGCTTCGAGCATGAGCTGCTCCTTGTTCCGCGGCAGTTTTTAGCTGCTGCAGACTGGACACACAAGGAGTGTTTGCATGTGCCAGCATTTCCAGTAAACCTATTTCTGTTTGTTCGGCAGTAAATGAGCTTAGTTGCAGTGTACTATATAGAAATGGCCTGTACTTTCTAAGGCAGGTTGATGTTGATGCTGCCTCATGTGGAAGAGTCATGTATCGAGGACACAGGCATGCCCAGGGAAACTAATTTTAGAGGTAACATGCGAAAATCCCTTTTGGAGGCCGAGTTCCATGGAGGCCAGATTTTAAAAAATTTAAAATTCACCGAAATTCATAGTTTCATATTTCAAAAAATTCTGAAAAAAATGGATATACCTGGAGGGATAATGCACAAGTGTGTAAATTTTCAAGACGAAATCCATTGAAATGAGGGATGTGCAAAAAAAAACTGAGGCTTTTTTAACACATATACTATTCATCCTCCAAGGCCATAAATTTGTTTTTTTGTACAGATCGCATTTCAAGGTATTTCATCTTGAAATTTTACGGACATGTGCATAACATCTTTATTTACTTGTAATTTTTTTTAGATATTTAAAAAATAAAAGTTTGTATTTTGATTTTTTCAAAAAAACTGAACCTTCATAGATGCCGAGAGCCAAAATGCCTCGCTCGGTAACATGATCCTACTCAAATAGTTACCGAGGACTTGCATGTTCCTATTGTTCAGAGAAAGGCTTCACGAACTACATCGAACAAACTTTCTCGATAAGGCATTTTTATTGACTCAAAATGTAGCATTAAACAGACACAAAGCATGATGAGTAACACCCGACATCACACTAGACATCTGCATAACTAAAATGCACACAACCAAACACTAACAAACTACAATAATATTAAAAAGGTTAACATAACAACAACTATAGAGTCATATAGGATCAACACTATGCGTGATGCGTGACGCCACGGAAACGATCTTTCACGGTGCCAAAGAACTCACAAGGAGCATCAACTATTTCTCTCAAATGGCAAAGAACAAGAGGAGACACTCTTAAATAAATTGTAGCGGATAACTAGCTTGGTTTATAAGGATGCAACCCAAACAATGAAACTTGTGAACCTATGAAGAATCACAAGAGATAACCACAATGAACCTATATGAATTAAGGACAGGCCCTCCAATCCACACACACGAGCTAACACTCAATGGTACTGGTGCTCTCGGCACAACACAACCTCACAGACTGTCTACAAACATAAACTCAGAAATCCCAACCCCCCTTCACATGGAATAGCCGGGGAGTACTTATACTAGAAGAACCTACTAGTTAGGTGTAAAACAACACAAAATGAAGGGTAAATTCATGAGCTCCAAGTTGTAGCAGGAGCGAGCTTGTTGAGCCTCGCGCTGTAATTAATTTCTGGACAACTTGCATGGGAACTTGCACAACTTTTGACTCAAGACCTCAAATGATGCATCGTTTTTTTGAATGAAAGCTGACTTCAAAGACCATCTTCCAGCCTCTAAAACGTGCTAGACCCTTCTATAATTAATTAGGTTTAGGTGGGAAATTGCAGCTAGAAATCTGATGTGTCATTTCTCCCAAAATAGGCACCAGAAGCTTCCCAACTAAGATAATGGTCCTGCCGATGTCTTCCTTTGGCTGCTCTAATGGTTTAACATTTGTGCTAGCATGCACCTCACTCTTTGATGCCTTGGTTATGATCTGGTCTAGATCCTCCTCCCTTTCTTCAAACAAAACCGTCCTCGGTTTTGAGGTATTCTTTTTGGGCTTCTTTACGTGTGGGAATTGCTCAACCTTGAGTGTTTCATCCACCATAGGTTTCAAGACATGGTTCACTCCTTGGTGCATGAACGAATACTTATTAGGCCTCCTATGGTGGGTAGCATCATGATTAACCTGCCATGGCCTTCCCAAAAAAAGATGACAAGCTTGCATTGGCACCACATCACATACCACTTTGTCCACATAACTTCCCACTAAAAATCGCACCATAGAACGATGTGCAATCTTCAGTTTACCAACACCATTCAACCACATTACATAATATGGCTGGGGCTGCCTCCATGCTGATATCCCAAGAGCATGCACAAGATCACTATTGACGATGTTATTGTAGCAACCTCCATCGATGACCACCTTGTAGTTTTTATCCTTGATCTTGCAAATGGATTGGAACACATTTTGTCGCTGGCCCTTCTCAACAATAGGAGCATCATCATGAGCCACTTTGCGAACCATGAGATTAACACCATCCCCTCCATCTGAACTCAGAGGTGCTCCGGTCTCGAAAGTACAATATTTTGCATCTTTCTTCTCATATTCAGATTTTTCACTTGAGTCATCGGTGACATATCCATCATTTGTGAGAAGCACCTTCTTCAAATTAGGACAATCCTTCTTGAAGTGACCTCTACCCTTGCATGTATGACACTGAATATTACTAATGCAAGTCACAAGAGTATTGGAAGATTCAACCTTTGATGCATTAGCTTCTTTTGCAGTCATCTTGCTGTGTGAGCGAAAATTTGCAACAACGCTTCCATCTACTTCTCGCTGAACTGAACCTCTCCAAGTGCTTGATGTATATGTTTGGCAGCGATTTTGGTGAAGCTTCAGCTGCTGCTCTACACGAATAGCCTGATGCACACGTTCTTGCAAATCTTGATACATAACCATCTTTATCCTTTCTTACACATCTTCATTCAGCCCATGAAAGAATCTTGACATTGTGGCCTCCTCTGGCTCATGCGCCGCTATCCTAATCATCCAAATCTCCATCTCTTTATAGTACTCATCAACACTAGAGTTAGCTTGGCACAACCGTTGGTGTCGATTGTACAAGGTTCTTGTCAAATGTTTAGGAATAGAATGCCTTCGTAACAGATTTTTCATTTGCACCCATGTCTCCGGACGACCTCCAACACGACACAATTGGTTCCACCAAATCAAAGCATATCCGGTAAATTCAATGGATGCATATCGTACCTTCTCCTCTGTATAGAGGTGGCTATCAAAGATCTGATCCACGCGCATCTCCTACTCCAAATAATCATCGGGCTCGGTTTTCCCATTAAATGATGGTATGGTAAGTTTGAATTTACCAATCACATCATCTTCATGGTCATGATGAGCACGCCCATGATCTCTTCCTCCCATGACAAAGCCTTCTCGGCCTTCTTTGTGACGATCGTGATGAGCACATCATGGTTGAGGCTCGTAGTAGTTTCGAGCATCCTCGATGTGGTCACTCCAATGCTCCCCATGGTGGTCTTGTTGTATGTGGAGTTGTCGATGTCGACCCCGTGCAGCAAGCCCATCTCGTGGTGGAGACGGTGGAGCCCAAGTAGCACCTCATTGGCCGTGGCGAGCACGCCAAGGTGGCGTTGGCCCTACTGTTCGGGGAGTTGTCGATGTTGACCCCATGCAACAAGCTTATCTCGGTAGAGTTGTTGGGGAACGTAGCATGCAATATCAAAATTTTCCTACGCTCACGCAAGATCTATCTAGGAGATGCATAGCAACGAGAGGGGGAGAGTGTGTCCATGTACCCTCGTAGACTGAAAGCGGAAGCATTTTGACAACGCGGTTGATGTAGTCGCACTTCTTCTCGTTCCGACCGATCAAGCACCAAACGTACGGCACCTCCGAGTTTTGCACACGTTTAGCTCGATGACGTCCCTCGGACTCTTGATCTGGCAAAGTATCGAGGGAGAGTTTTGTCAGCACGACGACGTGGTGACGGTGATGGTGAAGTGATCTGCGCAGGGCTTCGCCTAAGCACTACGACAGTATGACCGAAGGCGTAAACTGTGGAGGGGGCGCCGCACACGGCTAACAATCATTGTTGTCTGTTCTAGCGGTGCCCCCTCATATATATAGGTTGCAGGGGAGGAGAGGCAGCCAAGGGGGCGCCCCAGGTAGGAGGAATCCTTCTTGGGTGCCTGAAAGTGCAACTATCTCTTGGTGGTTTTGATAGTTCCTAACAACATATAGCTCATTGAACTAATGCTCTTTCAAGATGATCATTTAAGAAAGTTCAATGATTGGCATGGCATGGACTAGGAATGTGGACTCCTCAAAATGCTAAGGACACATATTGGCTCAAGCTCAAGACTCTACCTTTTCATTTTAGTGATCC